CCCATGAGCATGTATATAAAGATACATGCATATGTGCATACCGCCCTATGTTATTATTAACCTGTGAAAGTGACCGCCCGCACGTTTGCACATGTACGGACGAATGCGAACGGGGTCAAGTGAGAAACGCATGCGCGAAATCGTACACAGCAACGTCCGCTTCGGTGTGCACATAGGCACGTCCGCAGGCCACGTGCACAGCCACCTTCTGACATACGTAGGCAGATTGTTTGGCAGATAGATGGGCAGATACATAGGCACACCCTCACATACACGTACTTGCCTACCTGCAAAGGCCTCCTCTGCGACGCTCGCATATGGCCGGAACCCCCCTCGTCCCACTTTAGCAGCGCGCCCCCCCATTTTGAAAACCCGGCGCCAATTGGAGGGGTGTATAGAACTGGTTGCCCGTTCCAGCGGCGTCGTCATCGATAGCAGCGTCAACCACGTAACTGCGTCCTCCACGTAACCGCATAACCGCGTCATCAGCGATAGCCGCGCCATTCACGCCCACAGTGTTAACCGCTCCCCCGCGAGGCGCACGAACATGTTTAATGGAGAAAGCAAAAACAGGAAGATCAACCTGAGCGGGAAGAAACATGTTATCCTCAACAAGGACTCCTTCATCGAGAGGGCCAAAAAAGAGAAAGAAATCCACCTCAACTTGACGAGGAGGAAAAACGCCTTTAAGGTTATCGGCACCTATGTAAGCTTTAAAAAATGCATTGAGAAAAGGAGGAACGAGATTCAGATTCTCATCGGGAAGAGAATCAATGATGTGATGTTGTTGCAGAACCTGGTCGCGCCGGATGTGTATGAGAGAGCCTTGCGAATATGCCTCTATGAATTTTCTGTCAGCTCCACCTTTTTGTACTCCATTCGAAGTTGCTACTACTACTATAAAGGCATGAACTTTGAGGGACTGTACCCTCCCGTGAGATACCTCTTAGATGTGCTGAAGCTCTATGGCAAAGTGGGGCAACTGGATGAGCCCCATTCGGTGAAGGGGGAAAAAATCGAAAAGGATGGAAGCGGCTATACCCATCTGGATGCAAACGAACCGAGAAAAGAGACAAAGAAGAAGGAAGCAATCCACGTTAGCAATAAGTTCCTCTACAGACATAAAAAGGAGATACAAGTCTTACTTAACCATTTGGATGTTCTCTTGGGAGGGTACAGATTATATGGTGAAAATATATATGGAGAGTACCACTCGGGGGTGCGAAGTGTGAGGAGGCGGTGTAGGGGTCATTCGTTAATTGGCAGCGAGGTAGGGAGGGGTAGCCAAGGAGGAGTCTCCCCCACTGTGGTGTATGCCCAACCTAGAAGATACGACAATGGGCAGGGGCTCTACCTCTACCACATGTACAATTTCATTTTGAATAAGTCCTTCTGTTCCCACATGGAGAAGGAGATAAACTCTCGGGAAGAGAAAAACTTAGAGAGTAAACCCCGTAATGATAAAAACGTATTGCAATCACTTCAAAGAATAAGTGACTACATCATTTTAACGATGGATGGGATTATCTGCATTTTGAGAAAGTTACTCCTGTCATATTCAGCGAAGCAGATTTTTAGGTGCAGCTCGACCAGGCTACTGATTTACTTGTGCGATCTTATATATATTTTTTTATTCTCTCTGAAGATTAAGGGACATGAAATAAAACACGAAACTGTAGAGGAGGTTAAAGGAAAAGTTAACTTGCTTTTACAATTTGTTTCTATCTCTGTAGATCAGCTAAAGGATTGCCATTCTTTGTACATAGCTTTTTTTAAGTATCCAATTTTCGACATTTTTTCCATCCCTATTGACGTGAAGAAAGAACTTGGAATGATGAAACTGCTGCTCTTGAAGATAGTTAATAGGACCTATGGACGACATGATGTGGACATAATGCAGGAGCTGGTTTACTCAAATGAGAATCTTCCTTTCCATTTGGACAAATACCATTTGTTTAATCATGCCTCCTTCGATCGGAAGAATATATCCGGGGTAAACTTATTTAAGAATATTCTTCTGTTTGTTCACACGAATGAGGCGCTGGTGCAGGACAACGTTTTGAATATCCTGCTGGAGGCCTACCTGTTCCTCTCGCTGAGGTATCACCCGTATGTGTACAGGGTGGGGGGAGGGGAAGGAGAAGAAATCGGAGTAATCAGAGGAAGAGAAGGAATAGCAGAAATCCGAGGAATAGCAGAAATCGATGGAAACTGCGGGATAGGGGGATGTACCCAGCGTATCGGCAGAACAGACAGAGATGGTGACGCCCATGCCGATGCGCAGTTCGAGTTCGCCACCCCCCACAGCGGAGCCATATGCAGCAACGAAGCCATCTTCAGCAGCAGCAACCGGGAGCACACCGAAACGGAGGAGGTGGCGGGGAAGAAGCGATCCGGCTCCTTCGGCGAAGTCGCATGGGAGCAATCGGCTCCAAATAAGAAGAAAGAAGTGCACACAGGTGATCGGCACGAAGGTGATCGTCACACAGATGGGTCTCTCTCACACATGGGCTTCTACTACTCCAGAGGGGTAGTCGACTCTTTAGTGCAGATTTGTAAGAGGGGGGGGTTTAAAAGGCTGGACGCGCTGTTGTTCTTTCTTCTTCCCTTTAGGACCATCCACAGGGGCATCTTCCACCGGTACAGAAACTACTACGAGTTCGTAAAAAATGTGAGCAACGAGGTGTTCGTGATTGGGGGCCGGAGAAATGATTTCATTAATCAGCGAGGAGTGCTTCGTGGTAGTCGAATTGGTGAAAATGGCCTCATCGGTGGAACCCCCCTTGGTGACAATAGAGCGGAGGAGGTTCCCGGGAGCGGCCCAACGTACCGATTCCTCCCCCAGACGAGGCATCTCTCAACAGATCAACCGACGCAGAAGACAGTGTGGAGAGGCCAGCAGCGTAACCGCCTCTTCAGCCTGAAAAATCTCATCAGGCCGAAGGGAAAAAGAGGGAAGCGCCCATGGGATGAGGATCTTCTAAATAACGACATCATATTGAAGGTGAAGAAGATTCTCATCCAGCACGACATGCACATTTACCTGATCAGAGAAGTGTACCTACTATGGTTTACCAATTGTAATGCAAACGACACTCTGTTCTTTAAGTACCTCTCCGCCTTCCCGTACTTCGACCACACCATTGTGTCTATATATATTTCCTCCCTCTGTTTTCTTCTGCACTACTACATCGTGGCGAGCATGTTTGTCAACCTAATAGACATTCAGGGTTTTAAACTGTGCAAACATTTTATGGCTAGTTTGGCGTTCAAGAAGGTATGCAAACTGCTTCTAATGTCCCTGTGGGTGGTACTGAAGAAATCCATGTATGCTATTAACTGCGAGGTGATGAATCGGCTAGCTTGTGAGGAGAAAGGAGTCGTGGGACGAGACGGACAGGAGGGAGGAGAAGGCGGAGATGACACCGAACTGGAGGAGTTCACGGAAGCTATCAACGAGGAGGACACGTACAACGATGAGGATGAGCAGTATGAGCGGGAGATGAATAGGAAGGAGGAGCGGATCATAGAGGAGATCGAAGGGGGGGGTAGCGGTGGAGCGGTCAGCAGTGGAGCGGTCAGCAATGGAGCCCACTTGTGTGAACCCCTGCGCTGCTTCGAGGAGATACCCATTGTGCTTGGTCCGACGGAAGAGGCGTCTTTCCCATCGAGTGTCGCAATCCTACCCGACTGCAGACCGGAGGACCTTCTGGAGGCGCTGGACTCGCTTAGCACAGGTGAGCCGTCCCCCATGGGGAGACTCTACCCTTCCAGTGCCGACCATTTTCTAAGTCGAGGAATGCACTTCTCAGCGTGCGACACGTATGACGGAATTGGAATAGCTAACAAGAGCAGCATCGGTGGTGGCTTCAAGAGCAGCATGCACAACAGCCGAGGCGGAGAAGACGCGTCGGCAATAATCTCCACCCTAATAAGCTACCTCTTGTACAATCGGGACAGAAGAGGACTGAACTATGTACTGCCATTTCTACTGAAGAAATTGTACAAGGTCAACGGGTACGTGCATCTCTTCGAGGAAGACTTTTTCGTAATAAAGGAAACGAGTAGTTTGCTAAAGAACCGATTTAACATTATTGGGGATCAGAATAACAGTGGAAGTAGTTCCAATCAGATGAGCAGCAGTACAGGAAGTAATAACTACGACACGGAATCAAATCTCTTCATCGATAAGAACGATGCCTATCTGAATTATAACATCAAGCACGTTAACGAGTTGGCTAACTACTTGTTGAGGTTTACTCCATTTACTCTCCCTTTTGATGATCGCATATTAATATTTTACAACAATAGGAATAAGTCTAAGGAGAGCATCCGAGATGATAGCAGATTCAGTTTCGTCGATGTGAAGCACCACTTGATTAGGAGAACACACATAGTGGAAGACGCATTCATATTGCTTCACATGCTTGACGGTACTCAGGTGAAGCAAAACATTAGAGTCGCTTTTATTGATCAGAATGGGAATGAAGAAACTGGAATTGATGGAGGGGGACTCTTTAAAGAATTCATGATTCTTCTGTGTAGAGAGATTTTCCATTCGAAATTTTTTCTCTTCGATTATGTACACAATGGGACCCTCTACCCGAAGAGGTTCCATTCAAATGATAACTTAAATTTGTATACCTTTGCTGGGAAGGTAATCGGGAAGGCTATTTACGAGCGCATACTCATTGAATCCGTTTTTAATGACGTTTTTTTGAGCTTCCTCCTGTCTGATGAAATAGACTTGGATGTCGAAATTGATATTAACGATTTATATTTTATTGATCAACATGTTTTCAAAAGCTTGCTTTACATTCAGAACACCCCCCATGTGGAGAACCTCTCACTTACCTTTTGCGTCTACGAGAGGAAGAAACCCGACGTGGGGGACGTACGTAAGTACGAGGACATCATTAGTTACTTTCAGGCCCTGGGGAGGCAGCTCTCTGCGGGGGGAGGCGGTGATGGAAGAAACTTCCTTGGCGGGGCAAGCAGTACTGGAGGAAGCTTCCTCGGGGGGGTAAGCAGCCGGGGAAACGTGGTGAGGCGCTTCTTCTCCCAGACGGGAGTCTCGCACGACCATGACAATATTAACAGCTTCTTCAACATCATCGATAATTTGGACGCATTGATAAACACGCTCGATCGAAATCTTTCTTCCCTTTCGCCGATGCCGCTGGAGGACCATGTGCCTGAGGTGAATACGACAGAGCGGTACCGTGGTGCGAACTACAACGCTGATTCACCCATCGTGGAGATGCTCTTACGTCGGAACGAGCCCAATTTGAGTCCCACGTCGAATGGGGTGCTCCTGGGCTCAGACGGCGAGGTCTTGACGTATCCGCTGCGCAGCGGTGACGACCTCGATTCGGAGGAGGGACCGCAAGATGTGCAGGATATGGAGGATGTAGAAGGTGTGGAAGCTGTGGAAGGTGTGGAAGGTGGCGGCAAGGGGGATCCAGTCGGTGGGAACAGAGATGGCCAAGGGGGTGGAAGTGGAGATCACCCATCAAGTGCGAGCATGGACGACCCATCAGGTGCGAGCATAGACGACCCATCAGGTGCACGCATAGACGACCCATCAGGTGCACGCATAGATAACCCATCAGGTGCACGCATAGATAACCCAACAGCACACAGACGCGGAGCGCAAGCGGAGGACCTGCAGTGCATCGACCTGATTGAAAACGGAAGGAACATACTAGTGGACGACAAAAATAAGAAGCAGTACATAAAACTGTACATAAATTATAAGTATAAAAAAATGGTGCGGAAAAAAACCCAGGCTTTTTTGAAAGGGCTGTCCGAATTGATTCCTACCAAATGGCTCAAACTTTTTAATGCTCATGAATTAAAGACTCTGATTTCGGGCAACGACAAATGTTTCGACGTGGATGATTTGAGAAGGAACGTTGTTTACGGTGGAGGATACACTGCAAATAGTGAAACTGTCTTAAACCTATATCACATTTTGAAAACGTTTTCTCCAAAGGAGAAGAGCCTCTTCCTTATGTTCGTCACTAGCTGCTCTAGGTCTCCTTTGCTTGGCTTCCAGGAGCTCTACCCTAAGTTTTGCATCTTTCGCGTCGTGGACGATACGAGACTGCCCACTGCGTCCACGTGCGTTAATTTGCTCAAACTGCCCGACTACGCGTCCAGGGAGATCTTGCACAAGAACCTGCTCACGGCGATAAGCGGCACACAGGGGTTTGACCTCAGCTAAGGGGGGGGAGGCGGAGCCGTAGTGATGCATTACGGAGTGTTGCATTGCGGAGTGTTGCATTACGGAGTGTTGCATTGCGGAGTGTTGCATTGCGGAGTGTTGCATTGCGGAGTGTTGCATTGCGGAGTGCATACCTAGGCTCCGTTTCCTTGCGAATGGGCGCTTCCCAGGGGGGAAATATGTGCATCGCCTTTTTTTTGTACCTAGGCGTTGTCATCACACGTTTGGCGTGCTTGATGGGTGAGTCGAAGCGGGTTACCTTGCCTTGCCTTACATTGTGTTGTGTTACTTTTGGCTGCGTTTTGCTTGTCAGTTTTTCTTTTTTTTTAACGCCAGCAGGGCAGCAGTGCGCGGGTTATCCCCCCGTGGAGTGACAAGCGCAGTGCGGCTGCGTAGGTGAGCGGTTAAGAAGTTACTCGGGTTTGCGGTTCGGTGTTGGCAGTTTCGACGCGGATCCGTGATGGCGCTACCCGTTACGCCGCTGCCCGCTGCACCTGAGCGACGGAGTAATCAGGAAAGAGTCATCGCTAGAGCGTGCGCCGTCTCGCGCCACTCGTGAGGACGAACTGGGAAGGAACAAATAATTAACTTCACACAATAGTATAAACTCTTAACTGCACTGAAAATGGATTGGCCCGATTTGCTTGGCGCTGGGCGGTGCGCACGGTGGGATATCAGTTAGGTATCCTCGTTACTACTCGGAAGATACAACTTTGCTAATGCTTCTTCACTTCTTCGGTCGTACTGAATGACTCGTCACGCGATGAAGCGAAGCGCCACGTGCACGCTTCAGTCGAGGGGGGATGCAGTGGCTTTTCCCCCACGTTGGGAATTTTTTCGTAATTCTTTTGCATTTTGGGGGGCACATTTTTGAGGCACATTTGAGGCACATTTTTGGTATTTTTTCTTTTTCCCATTGTGGAACCCGCCCGGGCGTAGCGATCGCGGAGGTGACGTTCCAGACCGTGGGGAGGTGGGCGTTCCCACGAAGGGGAAGGGAGACCACGCGTGAGGGAGTAAGTTCGGGTGCTACGCTGAGTCGACTCGCGCAGTTGCATGGGGGCAGCACAGCGGTCGTACTTACGTACACGCGTGTGTGTATGTAATCCTTCCTCCTCCCTTTTTCAATTCCGCTGATAAGTGGTTTGCCTAAATCGAGTGTCGCTGGCTCATTCACCACTCCCGCTTCTCACCGCTCACCAGTTAAGGGGCCCCCCATCCAGATGGTCGTGTCCCAGTTCTACATCCTGTCCCCGCGAGGGGACACGATCATCAATCGAGACTTCCGAGGCGACGTGTCCAAAGGGAGCGGAGAGATGTTTTTTCGAAACGTAAAACTGCACAAGGGAGGAGATGCTCCACCGCTATTCTACCTAAACGGAATCCACTTCACCTACATAAAAAACAACAGTCTCTATTTCGTCTTCACGTCCTTGTTTAATTCCTCCCCGAGTTATATCCTGGAGCTTCTCTACCGTGTGGTTAAAATAGTGAAAGATTTCTGTGGACACATAAGTGAGGAAGTGATCCGAGCGAATTTCATTTTAATATACGAGATTGTCGATGAGATTATTGACTATGGATACGTTCAGAATAGCAACACAGAGAGCATTCGTCATTTGATTCATAACGAGATAAGTTCAACATCGGATGTGTGTATGGGTGGTGGGAGTAGAGGTACCGCTATATCCTCAACTGGTAGCAGTATAACCGCTGGCGGAGTGGCCACTGCCGTGGGAAACACCGTTGGAAACAGCATAACGACCATTAGCAATAGTACCAAGAAATTAGCCAACCTCTCTAGTTTCAGCATGAAAAATTCAAACACGTTACCATCCAATGCATCGCAGAAACCGATACAACTGAATGAAAAGAAAAACGAAATATTCATCGATATTGTAGAAAAGATTAACCTCATTATGAACTCTAAAGGGGAAATCATTTACTCTTATGTCGATGGAGTCATTCAAATTAAATCCTACCTACAGGGGAATCCCTACATTAAGATCGCTTTAAATGACGACCTGTATATAAAGAACCTTCACTCAGACAACACCAATAACGTTATTATTGACGACTGTAATTTTAACCACTTGGTTAATCTGTCTCAGTTCGAACGGGACAAGATTCTTTCCCTTTACCAACCAGATGGAGAGTGCATCCTTATGAACTACCGGATTAATAATAACTTCAAGGCGCCCTTCCGCCTGTATGCGAGTCTCAACTATGGCCCCAACCACACGGTACGATTCCGGAGGTTAAGCGGCGGTGAAGCTTCTGAGGCGGCCAAGCCAACTTCGAATGCGTCTTCTCCCCTTAGCTCAGCACATCACCGCTTCTCTCACATGACCGCTTCCTTCACGTGACCGTTTCCTTCACGTGACCGCTTCCTTCACGTAACCGCTTCCTTCACGTGACCGCTTCCTTAACGTAACCGCTCCCCTCACATCACCGCATCGCTCATGTGACCGCTTCCCCTCACATGACCCCTTCCTTCACATGACCCCTTCCCTCACATCACCGCTTCCCCACCTGACAGGTCGAGCTCTGCATCCGCATTCGTCTGGATATCCCCGCGCAGTACACCTGCACAAACGTCTTCGTCAACTGCAACCTCTGCAAACACATAACCAACGTACACCTGGACCTGAGCAGCGCCTCACACCTCTTCTCAGCGCAGTACATCGCAAACGAGCACCGCCTTCTGTGGACCATAAAGAAGTTCAAAGTGGGTCCCTCTTCAGCACTGCTCGTATGCACCTGCAGTGTGTTTGCATCGCGTCGAATCGCATATGAGAGGCTCCTCCCTGGGTCGTTAAGCATATTCTGACCCATCTGCGCCGAATCATCCCCCTTGTTACACTCCTCCCTTTAGGGCGAGACCGAACACAACATAAGGTCTAAGATAACTCTGAGCCCCGGGTACACCTTCGCCAAGCGAGACTTCGGCCCGGTATACATCCTCTTCGAGATCCCCATGTTTAATTTGTCCAAACTGAGAATCAAGTATCTACGGATCATCGAGAATTACAAATCGAGCAACACGCACAGGTGGGTTCGGTACATCACGCAGTCGTCTTCGTACGTGTACCGCCTGCACTGAGGAGATCACACGGTGTAGAGGCCCCACAGTGTAGAGGCCCCACAGTGTAGAGGCCACACAGTGTAGAGGCCACGCGAACAGTTGGAACCCTGCGCAGTAGTCGCGGTGCGCCCAAGCGTACCCTTATCATCACGGCGAGGGTGCGCCCACCCGTGTGCAGAGAATGTGGCACGAAAGGATAAGTTGTAGGAGTCGCAGTCGGGTGGAAATTACCTTTTTGCTCCCTTGGGGTGCATCCTTTCATCCATCTTTTGTGCCATTTTTTTTTCTACATTTTGGTCCACTTTTTTTGTGCTACTTCCTGTGCTACCTTTCTTTTCCCCCCCCGCGACCGCAATTCGCTGTGCTGAAGAAGGCCTACTTGTCAAGGCGGAGAGCCCCCCGCCGATGGGAAGACCACCATGGGTCCCCCTGCGTACGCTCCTGTGCGAGCTGACTTGCGCAAACAAAGACCATTCGAATGTTACAAATGTGGAGTTTAAAAAAAAAAAAAAAAAGCTGAACATACAAAGAAAGGGGTGTCGATTTGTCCATAATTCGACAACTTCCATTTGGTTATTACTTCTTGCGGGCAGAGTAAAGGGAGACTAAGCGTATCGCTCAGCATAGTTGAAAGCGCCATGCATATGTATCGGGGAGAAGGGCGTCGATGATGCTCGCCCGGTTTGCGCACCCACGAGGCTGTACTCGAGGCGTAGCCGGGACGCCCTCAGAGGGGAACACGCCTCACTCACACACTGACTCACTAATCCGTCCATCCATCCACTGTACTATTCATCCGTTCTTCCACAGCCACCCAAGCCGCTTCCCCACTAGGGGGCGGCGCACCTCCATGCCACGTCGATACAGCTAAAGGGCAAACACGCCAAGTTCGTTTCTACATCCCCAGCGTCTCATGGACCGCACCGATCTGTTGCCTGTCCAACTTAATGTGTAAAGAAAAAAAAAAAAAAAAAAAAAATTCACCTCAGCGCGTGGTGCCCACTTGAGAAACCTTACTGCCCTTCTTCCCGTCATCGGAGTTTTCCCGGGCGCCCTCCTTGGTGGGCCCGTCTTTCCTCGTGATGTTCTGTTCCTCGCGCTTGGCCAGCGGTTGCGCGAAGGCTTCTTTTGGTTCGCCCAGCTGGCGCGTATCCTGCGTGCCCAGGGTGCTCTGCGCTCCCAGCGTGGCCTGTATGGCTTTGTCGGCCTCCCCGTTAGGGGGTACCCCTGTAGTAGCTACATCATTACCACCGTCGCTGCGGACTCCCTGGCCGCCGACCCCGTCGCCGCTAATTCCGTCACCGCTAATTCCGTCACCGCTAATTCCCTCCCCCGAAGCGACCAACCTGTACGGATTCGCCTTGACGAACTTCTCGTAGGTGGACTTGACCGGGTAGGGGCGCTCCCCGATGCACTGCACGATGTCCTGGTAGGAGATGGTCTCCTTCTGGTAGAGCAGGTCCGCTAGTTTGTGGACCTCTTTCTCATGTTTACGTAAAATTGACTTGACTCGGTTGTACTGAGTCTCAATGAGACAGCGCACTTCATTATCTATGAGGTGTGCTAGGCACTCGGAGTGTGGTCGATAAAAGGTATAGTCGCTGGAGGAGTTCGGCTGAAAGGAGACAAGTCCAATCTCTTTGTTCATTCCATACTGGGAAACATACGAATAGGATAACTGAGTGACTTTATTTAAATCGTCTATTGCCCCAGTTGTGATTTTCCCGATGAACAATTCTTCAGCTGCTCTTCCTCCTAAAATGACGGCTACTTTGTCCAAAATGGCATCCCTCGAAAAAAGCATAATCTCTTCTGATAGGTGCTGCGAATAACCCAGGGCTCCATTACTTCTTGGTAGAATGGAGACCTTTAAAACAGGGTCTGCATACTCGAGTAGCCACCCGATAAGTGCATGTCCCGTTTCGTGATAAGAGATAATCTTTTTCTCCAGCGGGGAGATAAGAGAAGATGACTTGGGTAATCCACCGATGACTCTTTCGATTGCTAATTCGAAGTCTCTCACCTGAACACCAACCATGTTAGACCTCCTAGCACATTGAATGGCTCCTTCATTCACCACATTAGCAATGTCTGCTCCTACGAAGCCTGGTGTTAGAGAAGCTAAAAGGTAGCTAATACTCTGTATGTCCAATGTGTGATGCAATTTCAAATTTTTTAAGTGCACTTGGAAGATTTCGGACCGTTCGTTAATATCGGGCTTGCTTATATTAACAATCCGATCAAATCTTCCTGGTCTTGTTATGGCTGGGTCGAGAATATCGACTCGGTTGGTGCCTGCTAGGACTACCACTTTATCATTGGAGGTATGGAAGCCGTCCATCTCGACCAGCATCTGATTTAATGTATTTTCCCGTTCGTCATTTCCTCCACCTGCGAAACCACCCTTGGATCTTTTCCTACCCACTGCATCGATTTCGTCAATAAAGATGATCGACGGAGCGTGTCTTCTCGCTTGAGCGAATAATTCCCTCACTCTAGACGGACCAATGCCGACGAAAACTTCGATAAAGTCACTTCCACTTATGTTAAAAAAAGGGACATTCGCTTCCCCTGCTACCGCTTTGGCTAGTAATGTTTTCCCTGTGCCAGGGGCACCACAGAGAAGAGCCCCTTTGGGCAGCTTGGCCCCTAACGATTCATACTTAGAGGGTGTTTTCAAAAAATCGACAAATTCCATTATCTCCTCCTTGGCTTGCTTCATTCCAGCAACGCTTGAGAACGTTATATCCGTTTTCAAGTTCTGCTTATTAATCGGATTCATTCGGTTTATCTTGAATAGCCTGTCCATGCCACTACTGGCTACATTTTTTAGAGTTATTTTTTGTAATATAAACGCGAAGAGTAGGAAGAAGAGAATAGTAGGGACATAACTCTTGACCTCATTCAGCACGTTTGTTTCATTTGTGTATTGCACTTCTATTATTTCATCCCTCTGTATGTTCATTTCCCTTTGGATAAGCTCCACCTTACGCTCAAACGCGTCACTGTTTCCTATACGAAAGCTTACATACTTCTGGTGGTACTTACTCATACCATGGACGTTGAGATACGCCTTCACGTAATCCTTATTGATGAGCTTAATTTTGTCCACATATCCCTTAGAGAGGTAATTCATAAAGAAATCGTTTTGTGTCACTTCGTTGTATAAGCCATTCGAATCGACGAAGAGGAAAAAGAATAAAAGTAACATGAAGAAGAAGAGAAAGAAAAAGTTGTCAAACCGTTTGTTGTTTTTCTCATCATCGGGTTTGAACGAGTTGGATGACGCGGAGGAGGACGATGCGGACCCCTCCTCCCTCTTCTTATTCCCCTTCTCGAAGTTTTCAAACCCTTTAGGTGCCTTCGACAGGTACATTTGAACTATGTGGTGGAACTTCCTTCTGTTTTGTTCCAGACCGATCGCTAATTGTACGTACTTCTGGTGGGGGAAAAATTCACTGTGGGGATGGAACGAGTTGTGACATCGGCTTCTCTTCCGCCAATCGCCACTGGGAAGGCTTCCTTTGTCAAGGTGCGCTGGGGAGGACTCTTCCCTGGTGAAATGCTCATCGTGCGGCTTCCCCTCATGAGGGAAGACTTGGCCGCTCCCCCTCCACTGAAGCAAACGCCGTGCTGCTTCATCCACTTTGTGCAGCTCCCCCTTTTTCAGTCCCCCCTCCCGGCAGCAGATCCGTACGTACTTCTTCAAAACGTGCAGCAGTCGTCTCGCCCCTTTGCGGCTACCACCAACGATGCCGATTCCAGGGGCGCTTCCCTCCACGGTCCTTCCCAAATGGGGCACATTTAAAAGCGCCCCCAGGTACTTCCTGCACGATAGGACATTTTCCACTAGGCCCCCGCGGCCCATCATCCCATGGTTGTAAATACCCCTGGTCCTTTTCAGCAGCATCTGAGGCCTGCTCATTATGAGGTACTTAAAATTGGTTAGCCTATCTGTCTTGATCTAGGTGCACGGGGGAATAGGCCTCCAACAACGCTGCGTCAGCAAATTCGGCACAATGTTATTTCTGTATTGTCGTGCCTCCGGGTTGTCCCCTCTACTTGCACGTCTTCTATTCGATCACAATCTGCTATCTTGTTGGTAGCTCTCCCCTCGAATGTGCTGTCTCGCGAGGCACCCAACTCAGGCAGGTGCTTCGCAGCAAAAGAAGCGGCCTGATGGAGAAGAGCCGTACTGACGCATAGGAGCCGCATGAGGATACTCTTCACGCTTCCTCTTTAGCAGTCCATCCCGTCCGCAGTTTCGCATAAAGCAGAGGGGCGAAGGTGGAGTTGTCAGCGGTGTCGTCGTCCTGCTTCTTGGCCGTGTCGTCGCCGTGGTTGGCAATGTTTTCATACGCTGCTACGGTGGCCCTCTCACGAAGCAGCAAGCTTCGACGCCACAAAGCACTTGCGCAGCGAGACGAACTGTCAGACGTAGCAGAGGAAGTCGCCCAATCGAATCCACCTTCTCAATCTGCTCCGCCTGCTCCACCTGCCACTGCGTCCTCAACGAGTACTCTCACTGGGAAAGCTGTAGCACCTTTGCAGGCCCCCTTCGGTCAAGCGCCGAAGAAGGGAGGGAGATAAACGGAAAAGAAGGGAAAACAAAGGGGGAAAAAAGGGGAATAAAAACAGGAAAAAAAAGGGAAAAAAAAAAGAACAATCGGGAAGAAAACGAGACCAAATGGGGAAGAAAAAGAAAGGCCAGCAAAACATAACGGTCAAAAAATGGAGAAAGAAAAAAAAAGAAAGGAGCCGTATCATCACAACATATAACTACAGCTCACATCACATCGCTGCATAATTGACGCTGCGCTGCCCTACGTCATGTGAGCGCCCCGACGGCTCTGTAAATTCTGGAGCAGGTTCGCCTCCGCGCCGTCATCTCCCCTCCTATTTTTCCTACAAGGGGAAGCACAACGTACCACTACGAACAGAGAAGGGACCGTTGCGCATCGTTTTTTTTTTTTTTTTTTTTCTGCAAAAGGGGTCGCGTAAGGCTTACATGGATAAAGCGGGTGCTTCTTCACGCAGTTATATTATGTATGTTAGTGCCGTACCTTTATGACCTTACGCATGTGCAGCTTTGGAACAACAAGTGACACTCCCCCTTAAGGCAACAAACCCAGAGAACATGCCCTGCATCATTCCTTTGTGATTGAACCAGGGGTAGGGGGAAACTTTGGCAAGGTTTCCTCGAAGGGTATACTCCTACTTGTCAGTGACGGTGCTGATGAGCAGTTGAGGTGAGGCACTTTTTTTGCCTAACAAGGCGTGCTCACATCTTCTCTCGCTTGACCGGTGTGTCCATCTTTTTCAACCTCCCCAAGGGGGGTGAAAGCTTGGGAAAGGTTTCCTTTTTACCTCCTTGGGGAGAAGATAGTTTTCTCATCGCATGTTGCTCCAATTTCGTAATGTTTTTTCTTTTTTCCTCCATAGTGAAGTGAATGTTCACTGGAAGGGAGAGTCAGTCAATAAAGGTATATATACCACCCAGGGTTAATGAGAGAAACCATTCGTTAGCCAGTCGTCCACTTCTTTCCTGTCCTTTGGGTTTGTTTATCGAAAACGCTCTGGTTAAACGTACGGAACGAATTTCTTCCCCTTTATTACATTTTTCACGCTCTTTAGGGGTAGCCCCATGGACCCCCCGCATTTGCCTCTGCGCCTTTTGTGATAAAGTGCTTGTGATATGCATACCTTTTTGAGGGTCCAATCGGGGCACCACACTTTGTTCCTTTGTTTCTTTGTTTCTTTCTTTTTTTTCTTTTTTTCTTTTTTTTTTTTTGTGTCCTTCCCCATTGTGAAGGTAGGGAAAGGAAATTATCCACACAAATACAGGTGAGGATAGTAAATGTAAGGGGAAAAAAAAGAAAAAAAAAAGAAACGTTTCGTATAGAAACCTCCTCGCATCTATCCCCTGGTTCGTACACAAATAAGCAGAGGAGCCGATATCGAAGTGGTTATTTTGCATGTCGCTGCGTTTGGGCAGCAGCGTATGTATATAGAGGCAGATCGTTCCATGGGCGACTGGGAAAATTGCTCTTGCAGAGGTGTACAGACGTGTGTGTATCTACCTCATGTGCAGAACAAGTGACCCGTGTTTTCCTCACCCCCCCCGTTTTTCTTTTCTTTTACGGAACACCTTTTGTCTACCCTGGGCAGTTTTCCTTCACCTAACAAAATGACCCACTTGAAAGAACAACTGGTGGATAGAAAAAAAAAATGTGTCCTTTGGAACCCCCAGGAGGAGGGATGAGGGTCGGGGAGGCGGAAGTACTGACAGGGAAAAAGCAAATCTCGGGAGAGGCCCAGACATGCTGCCCCTAGCAGAGTGAGGAAAAGATTCCACAACAGCGTTTCCATTTGGGAGAGGCTTCCTTTTGGGGTCCCCTCACATTTGCATTATTCCCCTGAAGCGTAACGGTAAAATTCTCCCCCCCCCCCCCCTGCCCCTCCTCGTCAGATGCGCTTTAGATGGGAGAGCGCTGGAAATGAACTGATCGCATACGCCCAGGAATGCCTTTACATCCTTAAACGCTGGGGGCGACCCACTCCTTCAGTGCGATTTCATCGTGGCGGAGGAATGGGGAAACCTCTGGCAGGAAGGGTACCCAAGTCCAACCAGCCCATAAAGTGGGTCAGCGTACATTCCTGGGTGCATGGACATGGGTATTTCTAAGTAGGTACAAATGTGTACGTGGGTACTTTTTTTTTTCTCTTTTTTGAGAAATGGCGCATCAGTGAGGCAGGGAGGTCGCCAAAAAAAACGTGGGAATGATTGGCGAACAGGCGAGAAAAAAATTCGAAACCAGATGGAACAACAGTGGGAAAACAGGGGGCGAAAAAATGCGCAAAAAAATGTGAACAGAAAGGGAACGAAAAGTTAGCAAAGTGGCAGACTTTTTTTCCTTTTTTTTTCCTTGTCCCACCTCCGGTCTGCCTCCACTTCTGCGCTGAGCTTTTTTTTTCCTTAATTTTCCGGGAAAGACTGAAAGGTCTTTATCTATCAGAGGTGTCCTCACCGCACTCGCCGCACTTGTCGTCTTCACCGTCCCCATCGCCCCTTGTTGTCGCGTTTCCTTCCAAACGATCGGGCAAAGTGGTACTGGACCACCTCATCAGTCCCACTGTGACTTTCACACCCACATTTTTTCACTGTACTTTTTGTCAATGCAAAAAAAAAAAATAATTAAAGTAAATGTTTGGTGGGATTTGTGAGGCATATCGTTTTTTCTTTTCCATTTTGTTTTTCTTTTTGTTTTCCTCTTTGTTTTACTTTTTCTGTTTCTTCTTCTTTTCCTTTTCCTATTCGCTTCTCATGAACACACATTGAGGAAAACCGTGCGACATGATTTTCGTTTGTTTTGTTTCCCCCATTTCATTATTGCATCCAGTCATTCCATCCAATTGACTTACCAACGCAGTGAATCTCCTCACCTCAGTGAACTGCCCAACTTTGATTAACCTACTGACCTCGCCCAGTTCGTCCAACTGCACCCCCCACCACCACCCAAATTGTCACTCCCCCTTTTTTTTTCTTTTTTTTTCTCTCTTTTTTCCACCCCCAAGTGTCTGTTTTGCCCCCTACACACACACTGTGCGTGTACTTTGCGCGATTCGCACGTAAACATAAGTTTGCCTCCGTTCGGGAGTGGCCGCCCCAGCACACGCTGCCACGCCTGTGACACACAGATCAGTGGCTGCTGCGTCCTTAACCTTTTGTCCATCACCCCCTCTCCCCCCACAGATACAAATACAAAGACAGACACAAGAACAGACACAAATACAGACACGAGAACAGAGACCCCTTTTCCTGCGCTTGCTCACATCTGTATGCGTAGAGATGGTTACGAATCCGCCATTGGTTTATTCCCGAGTGAGTGCCCCACTTGTCCGTTGACTCTCCGTGGTTGTCTTCTTTTCTTTTTTTTAACTTCCCTGTGTTAGGAGGGGGGTGGATGCGACATTTCGGTGGTTCTCTCTTCCGAGCGGAGGGGGTAACAAACAAATCAGAAGAAGCAGCCAAAGCAGACAAAGCAAACGTGACACCTCCTCCCTCGACCATCACCCCGACACAATGCAGAAGAAACGACTGATTAGCAAACACATGGAAAAGGGGAAAATAAGTAATTACGAGGCGTCGATGTGCTTTACAGGGCCCGAGATAAATGGACTTAACACGATTCGTGGTCAGAACGCATACGAAAGTAACGCAGAGAAGAAGGAAAGCATCCATGGTCATGTCAACATGAAAAACGTGAGCAGCATGAAAAAAATCAGCAACATGAAAAAAATCAGCAGCGTGAAAAACCTGAGCAGCTTAATCAACCCGGAAGACATGTACAGGGAAATCATATGCAGCGATATCCATTATGAAGGCCACAAAAGTGACTGCAACGGAGTGATCTATGTGAACGAGAAGCAGTACGAACGAATAATCAAACGGAGACTCAAAAAAATTAAACAAGACATTGAGAGGAATAGACAAGTACGAGCATATGTGGCCATACAGAGCAAATCATGTCTACGGATGAATCAGTTTCCTGGCAATCATTTTAACACCTCCCTTTATAACTACGATATGAATTCGAATGAGTCCTTCTTGAAGGCCAAGGGGGGGACCCAAAATGGGGTCAGCCAAAATGGGGTGAGCCACAATGTAGTGAGCTACAGCGGAGGCAGCCACAACGGGGTCAGCCAAAACGGAGTGATGCACAACGGGGTGATCCACAGCGGAGTGAGCCAAAACGGGATGATCCACAACGGAGTGCCAACAGGGTTGCTAATCGGTACAGGGACCACTGCCCCGTGTCCAAACGGCAGCACCACCGACAACCACAACAACAACAACTACTTGTCACTGTATGATGGTATGAGAACAGGTATGAACACGAAACTGGGCAGTAATTACGACGGTAGAAATGGCGTCTACCTGAATCAGTACCCGCCAACATACTCCGCCAGGGGGGGCGTGGGCAGTCTTAACCTGCCAGAAAACCATAACGCGATGAACCACCAGAATCAGCATAATCACGAGAATCAGCAGAGTCACCAGAATCAGCAGAGTCACCAGAATCAGCAGAGCCACCAGAATCAGCAGAGCCACCAGAATCAACAGAACTATCACAACCATCAAAATCACCTGAACCATCAAAATCACCTGAACCATCAAAATCACCTGAACCATCAGAACCACCTGAACCATCAGAACCACCTGAACCATCAGAACCACCTGAACCATCAGAACC